CAGCCTTAAGAGGTGCCCAACAGTCTCAGCCTGCAGGTTGTTTAACAGGTGGTGCAGTGTGTGAGCATACTGTGTGTCTGACTCCATCTGGCCCTTGGTGACCCCCCTATGTGTGTGGTCTGTCACTCTGTCTTACTGACTGTGTGTGGTCTGTCACTCTGTCTTACTGTCTGTGTGTGGTCTGTCACTCTGTCTTACTGTCTGTGTGTGGTCTGTCACTCTGTCTTACTGTCTGTGTGTGGTCTGTCACTCTGTCTTACTGACTGTGTGTGGTCTGTCACTCTGTCTTAACTGTCTGTGTGTGGTCTGTCACTCTGTCTTACTGTCTGTGTGTGGTCTGTCACTCTGTCTTACTGTCTGTGTGTGGTCTGTCACTCTGTCTTACTGTCTGTGTGTGGTCTGTCACTCTGTCTTACTGTCTGTGTGTGGTCTGTCACTCTGTCTTACTGTCTGTGTGTGTTGGTATGTGTGTAAACACCATGCTTCTGCATTGCTTGCTGTTTGGGGTTTTAGGCTGGGTTTCTGTGTAGCACTTTGTGACATCTGCTGATGTAAAAAGGGCTTTATAAATACAGTTGGTTGATTGATTGATTAAGTGTGTATGTAGGTGTGTCTGTGTGTGTGTGTGTGTGTGAGGTGGGGTGGGGGCGCACGTAGCCAGACGATTAGGAGGCAGGGGGCAAAGTGACGACCACCTTATTGTCTAATCAATTTAATGAAGGGGGGAAGCGGGGAGGGATTGTTAGTCCCAATTAAAATTACAAGCTGGCAATTAGCAAACCCATCAAATCCCCTAAAGACTCTGCTAATGTGGGTAATAGATCAGCTGAGATCTGTGTGAGCATGTATGTGTGTGTGTCTATATGAGGGGGGTCTGAGTTCCGTGTGTCAGCATCTGCGCCTTGCTAAGTCTCACCACACATGCACAAACTAGCCTGCTAGTGACACAAACACCAAACAGTCTAGCTATTCTAACCCCTAGCCTGCTAGTAACACACCAAACAGTCTAGCTATACTAACCCCTAGTCTGCTAGTGAAACACCAAACAGTCTAGCTATTACTAACCCCTAGTCTGCTAGTGAAACACCAAACAGTCTAGCTATTCTAACCCCTAGTCTGCTAGTGAAACACCAAACAGTCTAGCTATTCTAACCCCTAGCCTGCTAGTGAAACACCAAACAGTCTGGCTATTCTAACCCCTAGCCTGCTAGTGAAACACCAAACAGTCTAGCTATTCTAACCCCTAGTCTGCTAGTGAAACACCAAACAGTCTAGCTATTCTAACCCCTAGCCTGCTAGTGAAACACCAAACAGTCTAGCTATTCTAACCCCTAGTCTGCTAGTGAAACACCAAAACAGTCTAGCTATTCTAACCCCTAGCCTGCTAGTGAAACACCAAACAGTCTAGCTATTCTAACCCCTAGCCTGCTAGTGAAACACCAAACAGTCTGGCTATTCTAACCCCTAGCCTGCTAGTGAAACACCAAACAGTCTAGCTATTCTAACCCCTAGTCTGCTAGTGAAACACCAAACAGTCTGGCTATTCTAACCCCTAGCCTGCTAGTGAAACACCAAACAGTCTAGCTATTCTAACCCCTAGCCTGCTAGTGAAACACCAACAGTCTGCTATTCTAACCCCTAGCCTGCTAGTGAAACACCAAACAGTCTAGCTATTCTAACCCCTAGCCTGCTAGTGAAACACCAAACAGTCTAGCTATTCTAACCCCTAGCCTGCTAGTGAAACACCAAACAGTCTAGCTATTCTAACCCCTAGCCTGCTAGTGAAACACCAAACAGTCTAGCTATTCTAACCCCTAGCCTGCTAGTGAAACACCAAACACCCTAGCTAGCCTAACCCCTAGTGTGCTAGTGACACAAACAGGTTGGGCGCCTATCATCCAATTCCAATGATTTAAATGTGTGTGTTCAGTTATACTGCATTGTAACTGCAGTTACACTGCAAAACCACTGCAGTAAAAAAATACCTTATTTTGGATGCAGTATTTGCAGCATCCTGCATTGTACTGCAGTTATACTGCACTCTGACTGCAATCTTTTTTCGTAAGGGATCAATCCAATCCTCCTGTAAATACACTGACATTATGTTATGTGTCACTCTTTTCAGTACAAAGGAAAGGAACCTTTTATCAACAGCAAAGAGGCACTAAAAACACAGCACCAAAAACAACACCAGCAGCAACATCCTTGATGATGCTGTTGAGACGTGGAGTTTGAGTCAACACTATGTACAGCAACATCCTCGACGGTGCGGTTCGGACGTGGAGTTTGAGTCAACACTATGCACAGCAACATCCTCGACGGTGCGGTTCGGACGTGGAGTTTGAGTCAACACTATGTACAGCAACATCCTCGACGGTGCGGTTCGGACGTGGAGTTTGAGTCAACACTATGCACAGCAACATCCTCGACGGTGCGGTTCGGACGTGGAGTTTGAGTCAACACTATGTACAGCAACATCCTCGACGATGCGGTTCGGACGTGGAGTTTGAGTCAACACTATGTACAGCAACATCCTCGACGATGCGGTTCGGACGTGGAGTTTGAGTCAACACTATGTACAGCAACATCCTCGACGATGCGGTTCGGACGTGGAGTTTGAGTCAACACTATGTACAGCAACATCCTCGACGATGCGGTTCGGACGTGGAGTTTGAGTCAACACTATGTACAGCAACATCCTCGACGATGCGGTTCGGACGTGGAGTTTGAGTCACTATGTAAACACGTTTCTCCTCTCTTACTCTTCTCTTTATTTCTCTTTTAGAGGCCGTGTGATGCACGGCACGCACCAAGCTGCCCTTCCGTAGCCTCTCCCCGAGCAGCCCCAGCCCCGGCAAACGTGTGCCCAGATGAGATAACTCTGGCAGGCAGAGGGAAGCAAGAGGGAGGGCCTCCTCCTCTGGAAGAGAAGAAAATGAAAAAACCTGGATGCAGGCCAAGTCTTTCTTGTCTTTCTTTCTCACCGCTTCCAACTCACTCACTCACTACCCCCCTCCCTCCCTCCCTCCCTCCCTCCTCCTCCTCTCACTACCCCCATCCCTCCCTCCTCCTCCTCTCACTACCCCCATCCCTCCCTCCCTCCTCCTCTCTCTCCCCCCCTCCCTCCCCCTCCCTCCCCCATGTAGCAGACCTAATGAATTGAGTCAATAAAGAAAAGGAGGAACGCTAAACAAGCAGGAAGACAAACAGAGAGAGAGAGAGAAGAACGAGTGTGAGTGAACACACACACACGTTGGCGAGAATTATCATCGCAGAAAGACGAACGGTTACTTTCTTCATCAAAACCTTGGCAGACGATCAGAGGAGGCTATTGTCTGAACCCGCACGCAAGCACGCACACACCACACACCACACCTCTCTACACACACACACACACACACGCACACACACACACGCACACACACACACCTCTCCACACGCACGCACACGCACACACACCTCTCTACACACACACACACACCTCTCTACACGCACACACACACCTCTCTACACACACACACACCTCTCTACACGCACACACACACCTCTCCACACGCACACACACACACACACACACACACACACACCTCTCCACACGCACACACACACACACACACCTCTCCACACGCACACACACACACCTCTCTACACGCACACACACACACCTCTCCACACGCACACACACACACACACACCTCTCCACACGCACACACACCTCTCTACACACACACACACACACCTCTCTACACACACACACACACACACACACACACACACACACAACACACACACACCTCTCCACACACACACACACACACACACTTCCCTACACACACACTCACACATACAACCCCCCCCCCACTACACACACACAGTTCCATACACCCTGCCAACCCACCCCCACACATCATTTTCTTATGACAGTGTCACATCGCATCTCCTTCCAAAGTCACAACAATTAAGAGACGTGCTCCTCTCCTCCTCGGCAGGAACGTTTTGATTGGCAAACTTTATCTAAGGGCCCCAGGGGACAAAGCCACTGTAAACGATTTATTGGAAAAATGCATCCCAGAATGCACTTGTGGGGGCCCATGGCCCAGGGGCGATTATTGAATAACCTCTACGAGCTATGACTCCTTCGGGTTGCCCTCGCCAACCAACTGACCCACAAATGAACTTCCCTAAACGCTAACAGTACGGATGCAGGGGTTGATGTAGCCAACACTGTGTGTGTGTGTGTGTGTGTGTGTGTGTGTGTGTGTGTGTCTGTGCGTGTGTGTATGAGAGAGAGACTGTATGGATGTATGTGGCCAATGCTCCCCCTAAAGAGATAGTAGGTATGCAGGGTTTTGTTCCAGCACTACACAAATTAACCTCCCTCAGCAGTATGGAAGTGGTGCTGGAGAATGGTCCAGTGGTAGTGCTCACAACTCAGGACCACATTTAGGTTACCTTACCACCTGGCGACGTTTGAGTCCCGTCTAGACCTCTCCTGTCTCTGTCCTTACATTCAATGCAATATAAAACAGGAAAGGGGATGGGACTTCTGATCTCCTTTAATACCACTAAGCAGGATGGATGTTAGGGCAGAGGTGGCCAGCCAACCAACCCTCCTTCCTGGAGAGGTAAAGATACAGGGAGTGCAGGGTTTTGTTTCAGCCCCACACTGTTACACCTCTTTCTGGAGAGGTAGAGATACAGGGAGTGCAGGGTTTTGTTTCAGCCCCACAATGTTACACCTAATTCTATTAATCAGCTTTTCATCAGGACCTTGATTGGCTGAGGATGTGTTTGTGTAGGGCTGGAGCAAAAGCCTGCATACAGATATGGGGTAGCTCTCCAGGAGGAGGATTTGCCACCCTTGTGTTAAGAGTGTGTTTGTGTGTGTGAGTGTGCGCATGAGAGAGAGAGCGAGACAAAGAGAGACAGACAGAGCGAGACAGAGGTCATACTTGGAAATGTGTGTGTTGTTTCACATGGTACTGTACTCTCCACTCACCCAGTCTGAATCTCAGTGCGGCCAGTGGTCCTCCGTGGAAAGCCAGCATCAGTGTATCCACTCCCTCTCCCCCTCCATCCAGCCCCGTCCCCCCAGCCCACTGCAGCCCCTCCAGCCCCCCAGGACAGCGCAGATGCTGGGTCAGCCTCAGAGTGGTGGTGGCTGGGGCTGGGTCCTCTCCCACCAGGGTCAACCCTAGAGGAGCAAAATCATTACAAATAATGAATCAATCAAATTAAACATTTATTTAAAGTGTTATTTCACACACAAAATGTCTCAACAACAAAGAATTACAGAAAACGTAAAGCCCTATTTGAAAATAGACAGTATTTTTTTATTATGTATAAATAAAGGTATATTGTAACATAATGAAGCTGCAACATTGTATGGGGGCCGTGTCTGACTATTACAGAAAGGCCATTCAGGTGTGTCTCATATGCACCACGCCCACTGAGGAAGGTGCCAGCTGAGATGTTTGACACTACGTGGTCTACTAAGACATGGTAAAACAAAGCTTCAATTGCAACTTATATTCAAGTGAATGTTGTGGTCTAGAGGTCAGTGCATTCGCCTGCAGCACACATGTATGCCGGTGTCGGAATTGGTTCGAATCCGGCCCACTGCCTTTGTGACACACTCTCTACCCATCTTTCCCACTGTCTCTCCTCTATTCAATAAAACATACAAAATGCTAATAAAAGGGGGAAAAGTGAGTGCTGGCCTTTAAAAATAAAAGTTGTTTCTACCTAGGGGAGCCAAGGCCACATCCAGGGTCATCAGCTCCCCTTGGCCTCCCCCCACCACCACCACCCCCCCTGCAGGGTGCCAGGCCATCAGGACGGGCGGTATGGGGCAGGGGGCGAGCAGCGACACCCCTCTCCTCTCATCGTAGAGGACCAGAGAGGAGTCGCTGAGGCCCAGTAGCAGGGTGGTCGAGGAGGGGTGGCGGGAGCAGGAGACGGGGCGCGAGGAGAGGGGGATACGGGTCGCCGAGAGACGATGGAGGCGGCCACGGGCACACTCGTACACGCAGGCGTCTGCCCAGGACGTCCCGGTGGTGGTGGTGTGGGATCCTTGTTGGGGTCCTTCAGGCAGCTCCACGGACAGAAGCTGGTAGGGCTGCATGAGACTGAAGCGGAGGTCCAACGGGTCACCCTCGGTACGCATGGAGCTGAGCACCTGGGGGGGAGAGGGAGGGGAGAGAGAGATGGGGGGGAGGGAGGGGAGAGTGAGATAGAGAGAGAGAGGAAGAGGGACAGTGTGTGAGAGAAAGAAGGGTTAGACTGAGCAGGAGAAAAACAGAGTGGTAGACAGAGGACAGGGGATGAAGAGAGAAGAGAGAGACTACAATAACAGCAGAGCTTTACTACACCCTCTAGAGATGGAGTGTCAATCAAGCAAGTCAATGATAAGTTCTCCATTCAATTCAAGGTCACAAATGTTTTCCTGGCGCATTTCCTACAAGTTTACTTGGCATACACACTAAACAACAAACAATACCACTGCCTAGGTGTGTAAATTGCCCTAAGGGGACAAATAAAGTTGTATTGAATTGAATCCCACAAACGACAGAAAGTCGGTAACCTTTTGACACAGAACACCACAACACAAACAATAGGCTGTGAGTACAGAACACCACAACACAAACAATAGGCTGTGAGTACAGAACACCACAACACAAACAATAGGCTGTGAGTACAGAACACTGCCACACAAACAATAGGGCTGTGGGTACAGAACACCACAACACAAACAATAGGGCTGTGGGTACAGAACACCACAACACAAACAATAGGCTGTGGGTACAGAACACCACAACACAAACAATAGGGCTGTGGGTACAGAACACCACAACACAAACAATAGGGCTGTGGGTACAGAACACTGCCACCCAAACAATAGGGCTGTGGGTACAGAACACCACAACACAAACAATAGGGCTGTGGGTACAGAACACTGCCACCCAAACAATAGGGCTGTGGGTACAGAACACCACAACACAAACAATAGGGCTGTGGGTACAGAACACTGCCACCCAAACAATAGGGCTGTGGGTACAGAACACTGCCACACAAACAATAGGGCTGTGGGTACAGAACACCACAACACAAACAATAGGGCTGTGGGTACAGAACACCGCAACACAAACAATAGGGCTGTGGGTACAGAACACCACAACACAAACAATAGGGCTGTGGGTACAGAACACCACAACACAAACAATAGGGCTGTGGGTACAGAACACCACAACACAAACAATAGGGCTGTGGGTACAGAACACTGCAACACAAACAACAGGGATGTGGGTACAGAACACTGCCACACAAACTATAGGGCTGTGGGTACAGAACACTGCCACACAAACAATAGGCTGTGGGTACAGAACACTGCCACACAAACAATAGGGCTGTGGGTACAGAACACCACAACACAAACAATAGGGCTGTGGGTGTCGTGTAGCTACAGGGACAGGCTGACTGTAATTCATTTAGATGGATAGACAGAAGAGGTCTGTCCTCTCTCCCTCCCTCCCGTCCTGTCTCCCTCCCTCCCTCCCTCCCTCCCTCACTATCTGTCTCCCTCCCTCCCTGTCTCTCTCCCTCCCTCCCTCCCTCCCTGCCTGTCAGTCTCCCTCCCTGCCTGTCTCCCTCCCTGTCAGTCTCCCTCCCTCCCTATCTGCCTCCCTGCCTGTCTCCCTCCCTATCTGCCTCCCTGCCTGTCTCCCTCCCTGCCTGTCTCCTTCCCTGCCAATCTCCCTCCCTCCCTATCTGCCTCCCTGCCTGTCTCCCTCCCTATCTCCCTCCCTATCTGCCTCCCTGCCTGTCTCCCTCCCTGCCTGTCTCCTCCCCTGCCAGTCTCCCTCCCTCCCTGTCTCCTCCCCTGCCAGTCTCCCTCCCTCCCTATCTGCCTCCCTGCCCGTCTCCCTCCCTATCTGCCTCCCTGCCTGTCTCCCTCCCTATCTGCCTCCCTGCCTGTCTCCCTCCCTATCTCCCTCCCTGCCAGTCTCCCTCCCTCCCTATCTGCCTCCCTGCCTGTCTCCCTCCCTGCCTGCCTGTCTCTCCCTCCCTATCTGCCTCCCTCCCTATCTGCCTCCCTGCCTGCCTGGAGCAAAATAAAGCAAAGCCGGGAGTTTGGCAGGCTCCTCCAAAAAGGGACTTAGGCAGGTTTGCATCCCAAATGGCACCCTATTATAGTGCACTACTTTTGACCAGAGCCCTTTGGGCCCCCCTATGGGCCCTGGACAAAAGTAGTGCACTAAATAGGGAATAAGGTGCCATTTGGGAATACAGCAGGAAGGAAACAGATGACTGTTTTAGGCTCCCTTTTTTTCTACCCATAATCCCCTCGAGCCAGCTCCTGCTTGCACCCCGGGGGGTGGGCGGGGGAGGAGAGACGGGGAGAGGGGCGGTGAGGGGGAGGATTTTAGGGAGGGGGTGAGGTGCTGACAGCACAGAAAGTGAAAGAGTATGTGTGTGTGTGCTTAAGACTGTGTGTGTGTGAGAGGCGGAGGTTAAGGGGGAGGGTGGTGGGTTGGCATTTTGCCAGCCTCATGGTGAGCCACACCTGCTCCAGCCACGGACCCCCGTTCTCTGGGTACTGCCCCCACTGCAGGGCTGGGTCTCACACTTCACACACACACACACACACACACACACACACACACACACACACACACACACACACACACACACACACACACACACACACACACACACGCTTCAGCTTCACGCGGCCTTACACTCACACGTACACTCTCTCTCACACACCTAGGCTACACTTATCACCACACCTCTTAGTTCTTACCCTGACTATCACCGCCCTTCAAATCCCCGATGCCACCGCAATAGGACTAGCTGGTAGCCACACCTCCCCTCCACACACACTCCTCAATAGGACTAGCTGGTAGCCACACCTCCCCTCCACACACACTCCTCAATAGGACTAGCTGGTGGCCACACCTCCCCTCCACACACACTCCTCAATAGGACTAGCTGGTAGCCACACCTCCCCTCCACACACACTCCTCAATAGGACTAGCTGGTAGCCACACCTCCCCTCCACACACACTGCTGGCCCCATAAACCACATCTCACCACCTCACCCCTGCCCCTTCTCAGACAGCCACACACACTGTGTCAACATGGAGTGCTGGCACCACCAGGTACAAGGACATAGGACGTTGGAATAGGAGTAGGGATAGGAGTAGGAGTAGGAGTAGGAGTAGTGATAGGAGTAGGAATAGGAGTAGGAGTAGGGATAGGAGTAGGGGTAGGAGTAGGAGTAGGAATAGGAGTAGGAATAGGAGTAGGAGTAGGGATAGGAGTAGGGATAGGAGTAGGAATAGGAGTAGGAGTAGGGATAGGAGTAGGAGTAGGGATAGGAGTAGTGATGGGGGTAGTGATAGGAGTAGGAGTAGGGATAGGAGTAGAAATAGGAGTAGTGATAAGAGTAGGGATAGGAGTAGGGATAGGCGTAGGAGTAGGGATAGGAGTAGGGATAGGAGTAGGGATAGGCGTAGGAGTAGGGATAGGAGTAGTGATGGGAGTAGTGATAGGAGTAGGAGTAGGGATAGGAGTAGAAATATGAGTAGGGATAGGAGTAGGGATAGGAGTAGGGATAGGAGTAGTGATGGGAGTAGTGATGGGAGTAGGAGTATGGATAGGAGTAGGGATAGGAGTAGAAGTAGGGATAGGAGTAGGGATAGGACTAGGGGTATGAGTAGGGGTAGAGATAGGAGTAGGGATAGGAGTAGGGGTAGGGATATGAGTAGGGGTAGGAGTAGGGATGGATACGGAGTAGGGCTAGGCGTGGGATCGGATCTCGAGTAGGGCTGGCGTAGGGTCGGCCTCGGGGTTGCGTCGGGGTCGGGCTCGGAGTGGGTGGCGTCAGTGCTGGAGTGTGTGTGGGTAGGAGTCGGGTGGAGTGGACTGGAGTGTGCTGGACGTAGGCGTAGGGTCGGAGTAGGGGTAGGGAAGGGTAGGATAGGAGTAGTACATTAGTAGGGATAGCGAGTAGGGTGGGATGGGTAGGGGTGGGATCGGAGTAGGGGTGGGAGTAGTGATAGGAGTAGAGATAGGAGTAAGGATAGGCGTAGGAGTAGGGATAGGAGTAAGGATAGGAGTAGTGATGGGAGTAGGAGTAGGGATAGGACTAGGGATAGGAGTAGAAGTAGGGATAGGAGTAGGGATAGGACTAGGGGTATGAGTAGGGGTAGGGATAGGAGTAGGGGTAGGGATTTGAGTAGGGGTAGGGGTAGGAATAGGAGTAGGAGTAGGGATAGCGTATGGGTAGGAGTAGGGGTAGGGGTAGGGATAGGAGTAAGGATAGGATTAGGGGTATGAGTAGGGGTAGGGATAGGAGTAGGGATAGGAGTAGGGGTAGGAGTAGGGATAGAAGTAGGAGTAGGGATAGCGTATGGGTAGGAGTAGGGATAGGAATAGGGGTAGGAGTAGGGATAGGAGTAGAAGTAGGGATAGGAGTAGGGATAGGACTAGGGGTATGAGTAGGGGTAGGGATAGGAGTAGGGATAGGAGTAGGGGTAGGAGTAGGGATAGAAGTAGGAGTAGGGATAGCGTATGGGTAGGAGTAAGGGTAGGGGTAGGAATAGGGGTAGGAGTAGGGATAGGAGTAGGAGTAAGGATAGGAGTAGGGATAGGAGTTTCTCAGGGACATACTGCAAGCCCCTAAGAAACCCAGTGAGGGGATACAACCAGATCATCTCCTCTGCTCTGCCACACTAACACGCAACACCCAAGGTCAGGAGTGGGGACTCCCCCAACATCACTATAGACCAGGGGCTGTGCATCATCACATAAAACACAACAGACAGAAAATAGAGAGAGAGAGAAAGACACAAACCGAGACAGAACAGAGAGAGAGAGAGAAAAGAGAAGGGAGAGAGAGAGACACAAACAGAGACAGAAAAGAGAGAGGGAGAGCACGACCTCCCTCATTCGTTGGTAGGGAGACCGTCTCCTCCCTAGTAAGTAGGTTTGGGACTCCTCCTGTCTATTTCAGTGATTGGTCCAAACTATTGTTCTCCTCTCCTTCCCCGGTCATGGAAGAGAACAGGGGCGGGGCCAGCTGAGAGCCTGGCCCCTTGTTCACAGCACCGGGCCTCACACAGACAATTACACAGCTCACAGAGCACAGAAAGACAGGGGCAGAGACGGAGTGAA